CGTTTCTCCTCTTCTTCTTTTTCTTATAGATGTTCATGGTGTTCTTAGGAAAATCTTCATTCTGGAGTTAAATCTTTGTAAATGCTCTGTTTTGAGGTAAGGAGGGCTCTACTTTATCATTTTGTTATGTTTATTACTTGTATTCTCATAGATCTTGTCATATATGTGATTATATGTGGAATAATCCTTGTGTTATGAAAAATAATCAATGAAAACTGAGAATAATTGGTTATTTATGTGATTTTATGATGAATACATAGTGAAAATTGTTATTATGTTCAAATAGTGGATGATAAGGTATATTGAGGATGGTTGATATGATTTTGTGATATGAAATATACAAAGAGATGGATGCTTTATGTTTGAATATATTATGGTTCATGTAAAAATGATGTGTATTGTGAATATGCCATGGTTTGATGTATATGATGAAGATTATGTGCAATTATAATGAAAAATATGTGTGAACATTAGAAATGACATATGTGAACATGTGAATATACTCAAAAGAGTAGAGATAGAAAAGGATATGATATAAATAGTTACAGAGATACACTGGGAGAGTGAAAGATGGAGACGATATGAGATATCTTGGGGAAATGCAGGGTGGTGAGTGACATTCGGGGTTGTACATTGAATATTGTGTAAGAATGCACCACATGGCTGCACACTCATTTCTTGACTTGACTTCTGACCATTACCTTTGGTAAGGGGTTGTCTATTACATGCGTTGTATCCGTATTGCATTTGGCAATCCGGCAACTATTTACATGGATGTGTAAGACCTCAGAATAGAGGCATCAGATAACTGTGGCCACAAGGCGCGGTAAGCGCAGGTAAAAGAAAAAGAAATTTTGAATCTGTGGAATATAATATGTGTTTATGTGTTGAGATGAGAACTTGCTTTATATGATACTATGATATGTAATACCATGATGTTTTCTTTAATCGTGATAAGATGTGTTTTATGATGAATGTGTTATGTATGAGTGGTAGGGTAGAGACTCACCCTTACACAATATTTTCAGGAAACCAGGACGAGTAGTACCAGGCTCACAGTGCATGGATGGATGAGAACTGCCATAGGACTTAGTTATTTTGAGTCATGTAATGGATATTTTCAGTTCTATAGCATTCTTTTGGAACAGTTGTAAAACTACTACTTCTCTTTGTTGCAGATGAAAATTTTAGAATCTTTATTTTTCTAAAGTACTTATGAATTAATGAAATTTTACTCTATGAACCTTATATCATTTCATTGTTCTTTCTCATTAGAGAGTTTTTTGAAAAGAAATTTACTTTACCATTTAAATTTTTATGGAAATTTATCATATATTGAGAAAAAAAAATATAAGGCGTTACAATTTTGGTATCAAAGCAGCTCATCCAAACCAAACTGGGGTATGGGACTAACATGTCTGTGTTATGTAATAGATATACTAGAATAGGAAATGATTATTTGCTAATATGACTTGTTAGATGTGAATTACCTGAACTAGATGTATCTATGTGTATGTGAATAATAGATTAATAAGTTATTTGAGTTTATTGCAAGATTAGAGCTATGGCTGGTAGAGGTAGACATGCTGGTGCTACAAATGAACTCCTGGAGCGCATGACCCAAGTCTTAGAGACTTTGGTACATAGCCAAGAGGTTGAACCAACCGAGTATAGAAGACTGTCTTCTTTTACTAGGCATAACCCTCCAAAATTTGAGGGAAAGTTTGATCCTGAGGGAGCTCAGAGGTGGATAGCAAATATGGAGAATATTTTCCATGCCATGCGATGTAGAGAGGAGCATAAGGTAACTTATGCTACTTATATGCTGAATGGAGAAGTTGAGGACTAGTGGAGATTTGGTAGTCAAATTCTACTGCAAGAAGATGGTTATATTCCTTGGGAGACATTCAAGGAAAGCTCCTAGGAAATTATTTCCCTAGAGATTTAAAGAAACAGAAGGCTAGAGAGTTCCTTGAGTTGAAACAAGGAAACATGTCTGTAGGTGAATATGTTGCTAAATTTCATGAATTGATGAAATACTGGTCTGACTATCAACATGATGATGGAGAGGAAGATCATGGTGCTCAATTTGAGCATGGGCTGAGGCTAAATATTCAAGCTGTCGTTAGTGTATTCCAGCTCACAAATTTACCAACTCTAGTGAGTAAATGTAGAATATTTAAAGCTCATACTAAGGGTAAGACGGTGGATACTAGAATTGGTGGTCCTATGAGGCAAGACTAAAGGCCTTCAAGATTTTCTAGAGGACCTTACTCTAGTCCAAATCAGTCTCAAGTGAAAGGGACCATATCTCAAGAAGATAGTAGTGGTGGTTCTAGTTCTTTCAGAAGGCCACTAAAATGTTTTAAGTATGGTGGACCTCCTATTAAAAGAAATTATCCTTAACTTCCACCAACATGTGACATTTGTGGGAAAATGGGACACTCTGCAAGTGTTTGTTAGTCTGCTCCACAAAAGAGTGGAAGCATGAGTGTGGTACAAAGACTTGAATCTAGAGCAAGCACTGAAACAAAGCCAAATATGAAAGGCAAAGTTTTTGCTATGAGTGGAGCTGGGGCTTCAAAATTAGAGGAGTATATTAGAGGTAAATGTATCATAAAAGATCGACTTTTAGATGTGTTGTTTGATTATGGTGCTACTCATTCCTTTATTTTTGTAGATTGTATGAGATGTCTAGAATTACTTGTATCTGAATTGTCTTGTGATGTTATTGTATCTACTCCTACGGGTAAGCCCGTAGCAACTTCTTATGTGTGTTTAGGTTATCCTCTGATGGTACATGGTAGGATTTTTAGTATAGATTTGATTTGTTTACCTCTTTCCCAACTTAATGTAATTTTGGGAATGGATTTGTTGTCATCTAACCATGTTCTATTGGACTGTAAAGAGAAAGTTTTGATTTTTGGCACTAAAGTATCAAAAAGTGCTAGACTCTTAAATCCAGATCCGTTGGGAAATGTAATGAGTGCTAAGGCTTTCATGGTTCTATTTTCAATTGAGACTAAAAAGGAAATGAAACCTGAGTATATCCCAGTGGTGAGAGATTTTTTAGAAGTTTTCCCTGATGATATTACTGAATTGCCACCGGAAAGAGAGATTGAGTTTACTATTGATCTCATTCCGAGAGCAAATCGTATTTCTGTTGCACCATATAAGATGTCACCAGTGGAGTTGGCTGAGGTAATGAAATATGTAGAAGAATTATTGCAGAAAAGGTTTGTAAGGCCAAGTGTGTCACCTTGGGGAGCACATATTCTTTTGGTGAAAAAGAAAGATGGGAGTATGAGGATGTGTGTTGATTATAGGCAGTTGAATAAGGTAACAATAAAGAACAAGTATCCTCTTCCTCGAATTGATGACTTGATGGATCAGTTACGAGGAGTTTTCGTATTTTCAAAGATTGATTTGCGATCTGGTTATCATCATATCAGAGTTAAGAATGAGGATATCTCCATGACAACATTTAGAACCCGCTATGGCCACTATGAGTATCTAGTTATGCCATTTGGTGTGACTAATGCTCCTACAGTATTCATGGACTACATGAATAGAATTTTCTATGAGTTTTTGGATAAATTTATTGTATATGTATAGATGATATTCTGATTTATTCAAAGACTCATGAAGAACATGCAGAACACTTGACAATTATTTTGCAGATATTAAGAGAAATACAGTTGTATGCAAAATTCTTTAAGTGTGAATTTTGGCTAACACAAATCCAATTTTTTGGCAATGTGGTATCGAAAGATGGCATTATGATGGATCTAGTAAAGGTGGAGGCAGTGGCTCAATGGCCAAGGCCTACCAATCCAACATAAATTTGCAGTTTTCTAGGACTAGCTGGCTATTATAGGAAATTCATTGAAGGATTTTCTAAAATAGCTTTTCCTTCGACGAAGTTAATAAGAAAAGAAAATGAGTTTGTGTGGAGTGAAGAGTGTGAAGCTAGTTTCCAAAAGCTGAAAGAAAAGTTAACATCTGCCCTGTCTTAGTTTTTCCTAATCCAGAACAGAAGTTCGATGTGTATTGTGATGCATCTGGGCAAAGGCTTAGTTGTGTCTTAATGCAGGATAGAAGGGTAGTTGCTTATGCTTCGAGGCAGTGCAACCTCATGAAGTTAATTATCCTACTCATGACCTAGAATTATTCGTGGTGGTTTTTGCTCTTAAGATATGGAGACATTATCTATTTGGGGTGAGATTTGAGGTGTTTAGTGATCACAAGAGTTTGAAGTACTTGTTTGATCAGAAAGAACTAAATATAAGGCAGAGAAGGTAGATGGAATTTTTGAAGGATTATGATTTTACATTGTCTTGCCATCCTAGGAAGGCAAATGTGGTTGATGATGCTTTAAGTAGGAAGTCCTTGCATATGGCAAGTATGATGGTGAAAGAATTAGAATTGATTGAGAAGTTCTAGGATATGAACTTGGCAGTGGAGGTACGACCTCAGAGTCTGTATCTGGGGACTATGACAATCAAGAATGGTTTCTTAGTTGGGGTTCGTGATGCCTAACAAGAAGATGTGTTCTTGCAGGAAATGATGAGGCAGAAGGGTGAAGGAAAGGATTTGGAGTTCCATTGTGATGCAAATGGATTGATTAAGTTCAAGAACTGTGTGTGTATTCCTTCCAATGATGAACTTATGCAGATGATACTTGAGAAAGCTCATAAAAGTAGAATGAGTTTTCATCCTGGTGCAACAAAAATGTATCAAGACCTCTGTAAGAATTTTTGGTGGAATAGAATGAAGAAGGATGTGGCTGAGTATGTAGCAAAGTGATTAACTTGTCAAAAGACAAAGGTAGAACATCAACGTTCACCTGGGATGTTGCAGCCATTGGAGATTCTTGAGTGGAAGTGAGATAGTATTTCTATGGATTTTATGTGTGGTTTGCTAAGAACTAGAGTAATCGTGATGCAATTTGGGTGATAGTAGATAAATTGACTAAAGCAGCTTATTTTCTTTCCATTAATATGAAGTACAAGTTGGAGAAGCTAGTAGATATGTATGTAAGAGAGATAGTCAGATTGCATGGAGTGCCAACTAGTGTTGTGTCAGACAGAGATCCAAGGTTTACATCAAGATTTTGGGAGAGTCTACAGAAAGCCTTGGGCACTAAGTTAAAACTTAGTTTAGCTTATCATCCACAAACTAATGGTTAGACTGAAAGAACAATACAGTCCTTGGAGAATTTGTTGAGAGCTTGTGTGACGGAACAACAAGGAGCTTGGGAGGAATTCTACCTTTGGTGGAATTCACGTATAATAACAATTATCATGTAAGCATTGGAATGGCTCCATTTGAGGCTCTGTATGGAAGGAAGTGTAGAACGCCTTTGTGTTGGTATGAAACTGGAGAGGCGATCCTATATGCACCAGATATGGTTCAAAAGCAACATGAGCAAATCAAATTGATCACAGAAAAAATGAAAATAGCACAAGATAGGCAAAGAAGTTATTATGATAAGAGGAGAAAACCTTTGGAGTTTTAAGTGAGTGATCATGTGTTTTTGAAAGTTTCACCCGTGACTGGAGTTAGAAGACCTCTAAAATCCAGGAAGTTGTCTCCTAAGTTTATTGGGTCATTTGAAGTGCTATGTAAAGTTGGTCTTGTTGCTTATGAGATTGCTTTACCTCCAAATCTCTCAAACTTGCATTCTGTATTTCATGTATCTCAGCTTAGAAAGTATATTCCTGACCCTACTCATGTGATAGAACTTGATCCTATTCAAGTGAGAGAGAATTTGTCATATGATGTACAACCGGTGAAAATTGTTGATCGTCATGTTAAGAAATTAAGGGGTAAGGATATTTCACTAGTTAAAGTAATATGGAATACTAATGATGATGGAGACACCACATGAGAAACTGAGAATAAGATGAGAGAATTATATCCTGATCTTTTTGAAATTTAGCAAACTTCGGGAATGAAATTCCTTAAAAGAGGGGAGAATTGTAACATACTACACTTTGATTTAAATAAAATGAGATTTATTAAAGTATAATTAGAATAGATTTGGAAGGAATTTATATTTAAAAAAAAATGATGACATCATCAGTGAAGTCATGCTGATGTCATGTACGTATACAGTCAATGTATAGTACGCGTACAGTGTTTCCGATATGAACAGTAAGGCAGTGAACAATAAATTTTGAAAATTTTCTACAAAAAGGGGCTTTTACATGAAATTTTTATTTCTTCACTCCTATTTCACTCCTATCCAAGGTTCTCAAAGGTTCCAATGCTATATCTCACCATTTTCTCTCATACTAAATCCCCTTAAACTTAGATTTCTCTTCAGATCTGTGATTCTACGTCCATTCTAAAGGATTTCAAGTAAGTTTCTCTAAGTTTAAAGTTAGATTTATCGTTCGTTTCTCCTCTTCTTCATTTTCTTATAGATGTTCATGGTGTTCTTACGAAAAACTTTGTTCTAGAGTTAAATCTTCGGTTAAATCTTTGTAAAAGCTCTATTTTGAGGTAAGGGGTCTCTACTTTATCATTTTGTTATGTTTATTACTTGTATTCTCATAGATCTTGTCATATATAAGATTATATGTGGAATAATCCTTGTTTTATGAAAAATAATTAGTGAAAACTGAGAATAATTGGTTGTTTATTTGATTTTATGATGAATACATGGCGAAAATGTGTTATTATGTTCAAATAGTGCATGATAAGGTATATTGAGGATGGTTGATATGATTTTATGATTTTGTGATATGAAATATACAAAGAGATGGATGCTTCATGTTTGAATATATTGTGGTTAATGTAAAAATGATGTGTATTATGAATACCATGGTTTGATGTATATGATGAAAATTATGTGTAAAATTAATGAAAAATATGTGTGAACATGAGAAATGGCATATGTGAACATGTGAATATACTCGAAAGAGTATGAGATAGAAAAGGATATGATGTAAATAGTTTCAGAGATACATTGGGAGAGTGGAAGATGGAGACGATATGAGATATCTTAGAAAAATGCAGGTTGGAAAAATGCAGGGTGGTAAGTGACATTCGGGGTCGTGCACATAATATTGTGTAGGAATGCACCACATAGTCGCACGCTCGTTTCCCAACTTGACTCATGACAATTACCTTTACCAAGGGGTTGTTTATTGCGTACGCTGTATCCGTATTGCATTGGCCATTCGAAGACTATTTACATGGATGTGTAAGACCTCGGAATAGAGGCATCAAATAACTATGGCCACAAGATGCGGTAAGCGCAGGTAAAAGAAAAAGAAATTGTGAATCTATGGAATATAATATGTGTTTATGTGTTGAGATGAGAACTTGCTTTATATGACACTATGATATATAATACCATGATGTTTTCTTTAATCGTGATAAGATGTGTTTTATGATGAATATGTGTTATGTATGAGTGGTAGGGTAGAGACTCACCCTTACACAATATTTTCAGGAAACCAAGACGAGTAGTACTAGGCTCACAGTGCATGGATGGATGAGAACAGCTATAGGACTTAGTTATTTTGAGTCATGTAATGGATATTTTCAATTCTATAGCATTCTTTTGGAACAGTTGTAAAACTACTATTTCTTTTTGTTGCAGATGAAAATTTTAGAATCTTTGTTTTTCTAAAGTACTTATGAATTAATGAAATTTTACTCTATGAACATTATATCATTTCATTGTTCTTTCCCATTAGAGAGTTTTTTTTTAAAGAAATTTACTTTACCATTTAAATTTTTATGAAAATTTATCATGTATTGAGAAAAGAAATGTAAGCGTTACATAGAATATGGCTCAACTGCGAAAATTTGGGAGAAATGTAGGGTGGTTAATGACATTCTCCTAAGTGTGCACAATCTATTTGAGAGCGAATACATCACTTGACCTTACACTCATTTCCTAACTAACACTCCTACCTATAATTTAACTAAGGGGCTTTATATCGTATATGTTGTATCCGTATATAAGGGCTAATCGGTAACTATTCACCTATCTTTGTAAGACCTCATAAAATACTAAAGGAAACTATTAACTGTGATCACAATGCACAAGAAGTGTTTATTTGAGAAAGAAAGATGTTGATCATGTTATTGAAAGTTTATAACAAATAGAAAGTAATGGTATATATTTATTTTATTATCAATGATGTGATACTTTATAATATTTGTATTATAATATTTGTTGATGTATTTCTCATTGGATTTGAAATTGTAAAGAATGTATTTGTTTATGTTTTAGTGATGAGGAAATGGACTCATCTTTACAAATGTTTACAAGGAACAAGAATGACAGACACAGTGAACTACGTGTATACTTTTCACGACTATGACTAGATGAGTAGACCATGTACCCTTACCCAAGAGTTGGATACTAACACCAAGGTTGTGGCTGATTCTGGAGACCTTGGAGAAGGTGAGGACTTGACTCCAGAGGAGTTAGCAGAGATAGAGGGTTCGTTCAGAGACGATGACTAGGACAAGGTCCTCAGTGTTCAAGGTAGATAAAGACTGTCCTTAGGACTTTATTTCATCATTGTAATTATATATTAAGTCCTAATGTATTTTTTAAAAGATATGTAAATATTAAACTTCTACATGTAAATTAAATTCATTATTTGCATATTCTCTATCATTTTAGTATAAATGTGATTTATTAAGGTATGGTTATTTTAATACCTTGTTAAATTTTGTGTATGAATTTAGTTACCAGAAAATTTTAATGTTTTTTGCATTTTCAGTCTAACTAATTTATGACAAATTCATTTTTATGACTATACCTCGCCATAAATTATAAGATATTTCCAAATAAGAAATTAATGGCATTTACCTCTTCTCTTTCTTGGTGTGATTCGAACCTCTTTCTTACCCTTCCAAGTCAGCTTTGAGTGTGCTTAAAAAGATTCTTAAATGTTGGAATTCTTTTGCTTAGTTTGGGTGATGGGGTTGTTGGTGTTTTTGAGATTGTTTTTCTACTTTGTTGGTATGGAGGATGACATGCCTAAGTGGTGGGATTTATTTTTGGTATTTTTTGGATGTGGTCAAGTGTTTAAAGAGCTTGATTTAGCTTGATTTAGCTGGATTTAGAATTTTTGTGTAAGCATTGAAAATTTGCTCCATTTTGCACATGAAAATGGCCTTGTCTTTGGTGGATGTTTTTCAGATTTTTTTTTCTTCGCTTTTATGAGGCAAAAAGCTTATAATAAGCTAGAGGAGTCCAATTGGAGTAACTTTCTTTTGAAGTTTCCCCCAAATTCAGATTTTATCCTTGTAGAAAGTGATCACCAAACATCATGCTCAATGTGGAAAACTTGACCCTTATGACGTCATCTAGTTTGCCTAAGTGTACTTTAGCTTAGTTTACCTTTAATTCTTGGCTATTCTCTTTAACTTTTTCTTCTTACGTGACACTATTTGTTGGATAAGTTTGATTTGATTTAGTTTGCATTTGGTAAGATCTCTTGATTAGGGATTAAATAATTGACTTAAGGGTCATTTTCAATGAGTTTTAATAAATCAAGCTTTCTTTCCTATTGGTCTACTTCACTTTAGCTGATCTCTTGCTTAATTATTGACAAATTAGATTTCATTTCATGTCAAAAACTGTGCCACTTACGTTGGGAAAGATAGGATAATAAAATTGAAAGTTTTACCCAATTTACCTAGCCTTTTCACACAACTTTGAGTGCCGAATTTAGAAAACTTGTTTTGAGTCTATTTAAGGTTTAGTCTTGGTTCTTCAATAACTATAACCTCATTTGGCCCAATAATTTTCTATAAAAATTTTAGAATTTTTCATGACCATTTCCTTGTCCAAGTTAGGTCATCATTTAAGGTCTATTTTAGGAGTATTTTGGTCTTTTTGGCCAATTTTGCAACTTATATTAATTTTCTATTTTTATTTCCTCCCATTTGATTATAATTTTTGTAATCTCTAATTTATATGATCTAACATCATTTTAAAATTTTTTTGGGTGATTATTCTTTATTAAAATTGAGTTACCCTATAATTACGTTAATTTTTCCTTCATTCGCCTTTTTTTTGGGGGTAAATTTCACCAAGTGTATTTTAGTTTTTAACTTTTAATATATGATATAATTATAATTTATTTAAATTGATATGATTATTAATTAATTTAAAAGTAATGAAATTTTACGATGTTACATTCTTGGTCAAAGAGTGAATAAACAGTCTCATGTTATAGCTTATGCTTCTGGCACCTTGGATTGAGTACAAGCAAATTACACCACTATAGAAAAAGAGTTTTTGGCCATTGTTTTTACTTAGATAAATTTTGTTCATATTTACTTGGCTTTAAAGTGATTTTTTTTTTATCAAGCAACCTTGTGATACCTGCTTAAGAAGTCAAATAATAAACTAAGATTAAATCCATGGATGCTTCTTTTGCAAAAATTTGACATCAAAATAAAAAATAAGGGTGGGGTAGAAAATTTAGTGGCAAATTACTTGAGCAAAATTTAGCATATATTCATAATACCTTTCCATATTAATAACTTAACCATATGAAAGGCACTGATCCTTAGTATGCAAATTTGGTGAATTATCTTGTTACCAAGTAGATTCCTACACACTTTTTCAAGCTAAACCTGCCAAACTAAAGAGTGATGCTAAATACTACATTTCGGATGATCCATACTTGTGACAAATGTGTAGTAACAAGATCATCAGACGATGTGTGCTTGACCTCGAGTTTCATTTTGTGCTCAAACTCTACCATTCTTTAACTAATGGTGGACATTTTAGGGCCTAGCGCACAACCTAAAAGATCTTATATTCTTGAATATATTATCCCACCATGTTTTGAGATGCACAAACACTTTTCCAAGACATGTGAGCAATGCCAATAGGCTGGAGTATTT